AGGGGGTGGTGAACTGGGTGGCAGCGGAGGGGCCTGGCTCGAGAGTGGAGGAGGGGAGGAGGGGAGGAGGGAAGCAGGGGGACGGAGAGGAGCAGGAAGACGGTCCTTCCCCTTTTCCCACACAAAACCGTAAGCAACTTCTTTGAAAAAAGAAAAAAAAAACATAACTAACATGTAATTGGGAAAGGTACAAAAGAAAAGAATCTGTCAACGAAAATTCTGTGAACGGATTCGAAAAAGGGAAGCAAGGAAATCTTTTTCATCTTATTTTTTGTAAATGCGTGTCATGATGCCATCCCATTATTCTCTTTTTTTCGTTTTTTTGTTTTTCCTTCTTTTCCTTGTTTCCTTTTTTCCTTTTTTCCTTTTTTTTTTTTCTTTTTTTGTTTTTTTTCCCCTTTTTTTCTTTTTTTTCTTTTTTTTCTTTTTTTCATCTTTATTCGTTTTTTCACTTTGTTATCTAGGCTACCGCCGCCCGGGTCACCTTGTTTTCCCGGGCGGCCCGACCATGCGAGGACCAAGGAAGGTCCAAGCAAAAAAAAAAAAAACAGAAAAAAAATCCAAAAAAAAACTAATGTTATGCTGAAAAATAAACTGAACAACTCTTGCCTCAGGGTCATATCCAAAATCTTTACCGAATTTAAAATAAAAAATAAACAAAACAATTTTTTTTTCTTCTTTTTGTTTGGCCCGGCCGAGCAAGTGGTCCCGGCCCACTCTGGTAGCCTAGTTTGTTATTCTTTTTTTTTTTCAATTTTTTTCCCGCTTTTTCTTTTTTTTCCTTTCTTCCTATTCTTCACCCGAATAGAACGCCCGATCACTATCGCTCTATCTAGACTGAAAGTTGCCCGAAATACCGATATAATGATCGACCGTTCTATTCGGGTGAAGACGGGGGGAGCGGGGGGGAACCAACACATACGGAATTAGATACAGATCGGTTAGAATGCATACATGTATATATATATCGTCACAAACATAACTGTCCAGTAAACGGTAGGCAGAGAGAGAGAAGAGGACAACAAACGAGGGGCTGTGACAAACTGTTTTGTCGGAGTTTCACCGACTCATTAGGAAGCTGAACCCTCAACAGTCTGCAGAATCCCCTCACTGATTACACTGTAAGTGATTATCCACGTTAACCAAAATCAAAGAAGACTATTACTCACCCACACCAGATGGAAAACTCTACAGACTGTCGGTTCATATATAAATATAAAAATATATATATATATAAATATATATATGAAATTCGAAGGCAGGTGACAGGACGAGAGGAGGAAGAGGAGATGGGAGAAGAGAGAGAGGAGGAGCAGGAGAGAGAAGAGGAGAGACAGGAGCGAGGATACAGAGGAGAGGAGGAGAGGAGGAGAGGAGGAGAGGAGGACACGAGGGGGAGAAGAGGAGAGGAGGAGGAGGAGATGGAGTAGAGACGAGGAGGAAGAGGAGATAGAGTAGAGAGGAGGAGGAGGAGGAGAGAGAAGAGGGGAGACAGGAGAGAGGATACAGAGGAGAAGATGATAGGGGTGACCAGATTATAGTTGCTACTACCGGTAGTAGGATGAGACCTACTTATAGCTGCTACTACCGGTAGTAGGATGAGACCTACTTATAGCTGCTACTATAAAAGACATCAGGTTCTAGCTGCTACTATCGGTAGGAGGATACATGGACTTGTACCTGCTACTACCGGTAGAACGAGGACTTACTGGAGGTGATATCGACTTATAGCCGCTGCTACTGGTATAAGAAGACAAGGACTTATAGCTGCTACTACTACCGGTAGGAAAAGACATTGATTTATAGCCGCTACGACCGGTAGAACGCGACAATGACTTGTGACTGGTACCTTCTTCCCCCCGAATAGAAGGTACGGTCATTATAAAGACCGGGCGCTCTATTCGGGGAAAGACGGCATCACCAGTCGGAGGAGGAGAGAGACACTGCGAAGAGAATAGGGGAGGGGAGGAGGTGAATGGAGAGAAGAGGAGGAGGAAACGAGATCTCCCTCCTCTTAGGAGAGGAGAAAAGAGGAGGAGAAAAAGGGAGGCAGGAGCAGTGAAGTAGATCGACCTCCCTCCTCTCGTCCAAGGGATCCCGACATTTGATCCACCTTCAGTCTTCCCCCGAGTAGAACGTACGGTCTTCATTGCTGTACCTAGACTGGAAGTTGCTCCCAGTACAGTTATAATGACCTGCGTTCTATTCGGAGGTAGGCGGTACCCACCGGAAGACTCTCTCGCTGAATCTCCATACCATCCTCTTTCGCCTTTGGCACCCTTTTTCTTTTTCTTTTTTTTTCTATCTTTGGCATCATCGCCACCTTCTCTGCTGATTTCCCGTCCCTACCCTTCCCTAAAGAGTAACTATCATTCTTTTTTTTTTTTTCTATCATTCTTATCCTTTATTGCTTCCAAGTTTTGGGGAGGTAGGGGGAAAGAGGAGGCACGTGGGAGGAAAGGAGGGAAGGGGGCGTTAAGCAGAGAGAGAGAGAGAGAGAGAGAGAGAGAGAGAGAGAGAGAGAGAGAGAGAGAGAGAGAGAGAGAAGAGAGGAAGTGAGATTTGTTTCCAGAAAGAAAAAAAAAAAGTGAGATTTGCATGGATGAAAAGTAAATCTGACTCCACCCAAAATCTGCATCCCCGCCAGAATCCCGGTTCGATTCACCGAATTCGGCTCCTGTATACTCATGCTCCAAGTAATTTACTCTCGTCGCTCTTCACTCCTTCACCAACTACCATCTTTCCCGAATAGAACGTCCCCGGTCATTGTCACTGTATTTGGGCAACTTTCAGTCTAAATACAGCGATAAAAACCGCACGTACGTTCTATTCGGGGGACGACGGTATGTCGTTCGCGGCCATCTCCGCCTCCCAGACCGGAAAGAAACTTCTCACTACTGTCTTCTTCCCTCGAATACACCGCACCCCCCCTTTTATTACTATCTTCTTCCCTCGAATACCCCGCACCCCCCTTTTATGACTATATACCGAACCAGAAACATCGACGCACGTTGTATGCGCGGTAAAATGATGTTTTTTTTTGTTTTTTTTTTTCAGAACGGTCACGGCATTTATATACATGGTAGTGCCGCATATATATATATATGTGACTATTTGACGATATATATATCGTCACATAATATAAGAGCGCCTTCGCATATGAAAAATCAAGACAAAAAATTAAATCGAAAATCAATCAAACTCCCCCTCTTCAGAACCTCTTGCGTACAAAGCCACCCACGTGGATGTAGGTTGAGCGGCCGCTGCCCCCACCCCCGTGTGTCATATCGACCCACTTACACACAGCTAAAAGGCAAAGTCTCTCTCTCTCTCTCTCTCTCTCTCTCTCTCTCTCTCTCTCTCTCTCTCTCTCTCTCTCTCTCTCTCTCTGAAGATATGGTGGAGGATGAGGACGAGGAAGAAAAGGAGGAGGGGGAGGAGTAATCAAAAGGACGACGTAGAGCAGGAACTCATCGAAAAGGAGGAGGAAGAGGATGAACACGAGAAAGAAATGGTGGAGGATGAAGACGAGGAAAGAAAGGAGAAAAAGCTGAGGAGAGGAAGAGGAGGAAGATCATAGCAAAGGAGGAAGAGGAGGGGCGGAGCAAGAGGAGAAAGGAAGCACCGACTCACCTTGGCGCGTCACAGTGCAAGGATGTCGAAGGGGCAGGGCGTAGCAAGTACTGCGCAGCGACGAACCGCAGCCTACCGACGAAGGGCGAAGCGACATTCGGAGCGAAGTGACGAGCGTTCGGGCGTGTCGACGAAGCGTAGTGGAAGACGGAAAGGCAGGACATCCGAAAAAGAAAACGCTCTGATGTCAACCTTTCCGAAACGGTGAGGGCGGGAAAAGAAAAAAAAAAAAAACGTACCTCGTATGAGCCCGTAGTGGAGGGTCCTTCGGGTCTGTGGTAAACAATGGAATGACAGGTAGAAGGTCATTTACATTCCCCGGAATACAACACACCCCCACGCGACCCCACCGGACGTCTAAAGGGTCGTCACGATCCTGCGAATACAACTTCTAAAGAGCCGTCATAATCCCGCGAATACAACACACCCCCACGGGCGCACGCGACCCCACCGGACCTGAAACGCAAGTCATTTACATTCTGCAGTACCGGCCCCTTTGCCTCAAGTGCAATTACAAACTCTAACCGGGCTTGGAAGCCGTAGGTTTCTAAAGTATATAGCGTTAGGTCCAGTGGATCCCCCCCCCCCGTTCTACACCAGGGGGCCCAAATGTGCACAAACCCGCCGGCAACATAGAATGCGGTGGTCCACCCGGTGGGCCGGGCAGGTGCGCCGCCCAGCTGCGCGATTCAACGGGTCCCACATCATACTACGAACGTACCACCACTCGTGCTTGAAGGCATACTGTCAGATGAATCGTAGCAGAGAGTACCGTGTCCACAAGAGAACACACGTGCGCTGCTACGCGCGTCGGCGCTACCAGCCAGGGGACAGCCGGTGGCATCACGGGATAAACCCCAGAGGACCAGTCCCCTGCTCCCAGTCAGATGTGATCCGGGGCAGGCGGCCATTGTTCCATGTCTTTTTTTTTTTTTTTTTTTTTTTTTTTTTTTTTTTTTTTTTTTTTTTTTTTTATTTTTTTGCGTTGAAGTTTCATCATCGGCAAAACCAGCCCACGTAAATGCAGTCGGGAGAGGAGTGGCACACAGGCTGCCCATTACAGCCGAGGATGGCATT